CCGGGAGACGGGAGACGGGGGCTCTGGGGGGGACACTAAAGACCTTGTTCCCATCTGTGCCGGCCTCGGTGGTAAATGCGCCCTGGGACGGCCCCTTCGTCTGGCCCCGCGGGAGGGCGGGCTGTGCTTTAAATCAGGGCTCCGCGAGGGGGTGGGCAGGGGCCGCGCGCTGAGACCCCTGCCTGGGAGGAGAGGATGCACACACCGGTGGGAGACGGGGGCTCTGGGGGGGACACTAAAGACCTTGTTCCCATCTGTGCCGGCCTCGGTGGTAAATGCGCCCTGGGACGGCCCCTTCGTCTGGCCCCGCGGGAGGGCGGGCTGTGCTTTAAATCAGGGCTCCGCGAGGGGGTGGGCAGGGGCCGCGCGCTGAGACCCCTGCCTGGGAGGAGAGGATGCACACACCGGTCTCCGGAACTGCGCTCCACCTCTGCCTTTTACTGCTGCTGCGACTGACCAACCGGTACAAGTCGGTTTGGTTTTTTGTAAATAAAAGTATTTAATTAGTTTGGCCTCTCACAAATAGGGTGGGGTGTGTAAAACAACCCAGCAGGGGGCAGCATCGGACTCTGCTGCTGGTAGCTAGGAAATCCGGGCTATGAGCACCTGGATGGAGGAAATGTGCTTCCTACTAACAGAGACCCACCTCCTCCTAAAACTCAATCCAGGCTGACAGCAGGGTTCCCGCTCCTCCCGCTGCCGGCCCTCTCAGCTGGATCAATCTCCCTGGTTCCAGTGGAATGCTGCTCCCCTCTACAAGCCCAACATTGGGGCCCACCAAGGAAAACAGCTCCAATAACTCACTCCCCATGGAACTGGAGCAAAGTTATCAGAAAACCAGAAACAAAATACCAGAAGTACAAGCTCTGCCAGGCTGTAATAGTCTTTCAACCAACTCTGTAGGCCTTACCCCTTATAGGCTCTCTATTTGGAGTAGAGACTATTTGTATCCGGGTCCTGACCTCAAGGGGCTTATGATCCTGGATTCAGAGGTTTCCCGTGGTAATCCAGGAGGGCTTAGCAGAGGAGATGGTCAGAGCTTGACCTGAAAGCGTGAGTACAAACTTGCTAGGCAGAAAAAGCATGTCTGGCTTGAGGGGCTGGTAGGCGGTCATCAAGGCCTCCATCTGGGCAGACCAGGTGCCAAATGGACAGTGGCCCAAGGGGCCTGAAGGGTCTGGTGTCCAATAGGAACTAAAACTGGAGTCAGTGGGGAGTCTGAGAAGTGCTTTGAGCAGGAAAGGGCCAGGGTCAGTTCTGGACACTGAACGAGCCTGATGCGCACTAGAGGATGGACGGAGAAGGGGAAGAGTACACCCTGGAGACAAAGGAGGGGACTGGGGACAAGACCAGGCAAGGTCTGAGGCCAAGCAGTGGTAACTCCAGTAGGAGTTGCAGGTGGGGCCCCCAGAGAAGAGCAGGGGACAGGATGACACATGGGTCTGGCCAGAGGAGCTAGAGTCCAGTGAAGCTGTCTCCTCATTGAGAGGAGACCTGTATGTGTAGGTGTAGGAGAGAGAGCCACTTTTGACAGTGACATAAAAGGTCTCTGAGATACTCCAGGGATATGCAGGGAGCAGCAGAGTGGTGAAGTGGGCATTCACTTCTGCCTAGGGTCAAGAGACTGGAACCTTTCTAGGAAGACTGAACAGGTGGAACTAGAGGAGGATCCGGACAGGGAGCCCTGAGCCCCACGGTCCCCAGTAATGAAGCACGCAGTGGGAAGGGAGTCCTGGAGGGTCCTGGAGAGCTGATGGAGAGAGATGCCATCTGAGCCAGGGAAGAAGGGAGTTTCAGGCAAGAGGGAGTAGTCTGTGACCAGGGTGGACCAAAATGTTATCCTCTGGCCTCAGCAATGAGCAGGTAGTCTCAGAGACCTTATCCTGAGCACTTGCAGGGGCCTAGGAGGACACAGCAAGATGTGCTGGGTTGGAGTGGGAGTAGAAAGTAAGATATATAGGGGGTGGGGATTTAGCTCAGTGGTGCTGCCACCTGCCTCACAAGTGCAAGGACCGGGAGTTCGATCCCTGATACCAAAAAAAAGAGAAAGTAAGACATACAGCCGGGTGTAGTGATGCGTGCCTGTAATCCCAGCACCGGAAAGGCCGAGGCAAAAGGGACATGGCAAATCCAAGGCCAGCCTGGGCTACATTGTGAGTTCTAGGCCAGCCTGAACTACACAGAGGAACCCTGTCTCAAAAAACAAAAACAAAGGGGCTGGGAATTCATCTCAGTGGTGCCACCGTCTGCCTCACAAGTGCAAGGCCCCAAGTGCGATTCTCAGTACCAAAAATAAATAAATAAATAACAAAAAGTGAAAGAGAGAGGCAGTGGGTATCAAAGTCTTTAGCAGTAAAAAGGGTAACTGATCATTTGCAGGAGCCTGGTGGGAGGTATATGGATGTTTCAGAATGGTGAGACATTTGAATGCTGCTAGGAAAAGAGAGATGGAAGCGCAAGAAAGCAGTTTCCTGGGGGGATAGAAAGGAAGCAGGGGATCCTCACTTCAGAGGACCTCATCCAGCCAAGTGACTTCTTTTATTTGGGGGTATCTTTTTGTTTGTTTGTTTGGTTTGGGTTTAGGTTTTTGGTTTCTTTCTTTGTTTTCGAGACAGGGTCTCACTATGCAGTTTGGGGTGGACTTGAACTGACTATGTAGCCCCAGCTAGCCTCATATTCTTGGTGATCCTTCTGCCTCAGCCTCCCAAGTGCTGAAATTACAGGTGT